TTAATGTGAAGCAAATAACATCAGTCCTGCATGGAGAGGATTCATTCCACTAGATGCCTACTTTGTGCTTAAGATACTTATGATTATTTTGTAAAAGTGATTTGAAAGATCTGATCTATATCCTGCAAGCACTGCTCATCTTTCCAAACCATGTGTGAGAAGTGCACTTGTGTGTGTTCCTTACACTCACATGTTAATGTGTCGGGAAATACATTAGCACGGTTAGGAAAGACAGTCTTGTCAGAGCTAGGATTGAGGAAACCGAGAAGCTCAACTCCTCATCCACCACAGGCTTGTCACACACAGCATAAGCCCCCTTATGCCTCAGATCAAAAATTTGTAAGATAAAAAAGGGCACTTTCCCACAGAGATACTCTGAAGCAATACACATTAAAGTCTGCAAAGTGCCTGAAGGACTACTGTAAGTCCACAGAAACAAATCAGACATTTAAGACCCTGCCTACTGTCTTGTCAAGTTGCACATATTGACTTTGTGTGTAATACAGAACTTTATTTCATACCCTGCTAGAGATTGGAACACAGACTTTTGGCACAAGGGGATTTGCTGACACAGTTACACAAAATATAATTAACAGAAGGTTGTGAAGCATGGATTGGACATCTAAGGGTCAAGCCCTCCTTCAATATCACAGGTGTGCTTTTGGCAAAATCTGAAGAGGTTGCTAGGGGCAAGGAAAGAAGTCACCATAGACACAGCATATCGCATATCACATATCACAGTATCCAGTATAAAAGACAACTAAGCTGCTGCTAAACAGAGAAACAGCGATAGGCTACAAACCCATAAATTCTGATCTTTAATTGCCTGCACTCTGAAAAATGGTCTACAGATGAAAATTCTTTTTTTTGTCCATTTTTACAACACAAGCCAAAGCAAAATCTTGAGACAATACAACATGCACCATGCTGCACAAAACAGCCTTCAGCAACCATCTTCGCTGTCCGAATATAAAAGCATACTAATTTTGTAGTCACTAGAGGGAGCCATCTGGCATTTTACTCGTGCTGCTCCTCAAGTGTTTAAAACTCAAATTTCATGGCTCTGCTAAAAGGAAAAATTATTTGTGCCAGATCTAAACATACTAACTAGTAAGTGTTGCTAAGAAGAGTTTGGCTACCTATTTATCCTATTTATCTTTTTTTTCTTTCTTTTTTTTCTGCAAGTAACCCGAATAGACACTCAAGTAACCTTCAGGTAGAAGCTCAAATAATCTTAGAGAATATTACCTCACTGAAGTAAAGAATATCTTTGTCTTTAAAAGCAGGCTAGGAAGCAAAGTGGCAGGAAGTTAATCTTCATGAACCGTGGAACCCTGACACAAGAATGGATTTCTCCTGCTCTCAGAAAGCAGTTTCTGAAGATCGGTAAACTTTCTTCTTCATGTAACTCTGTCTTCAACTGACACGGATGTAATATACCCTTTCTACCTTTGTGGTGCAGCCGTTGGGTGAGGTTATAGTCTTAACACACAAATACTATATTTTTTTATGGATTGTCCAGGCCTAGATCATTTGCCCAGAAATTAGAATGGAACATAGAAGACTGCTCAATCCTGATCTGCAATGTATTATAGAAAATAAAATGTAACTGTGAAGCATTAAGAAAGTAGGACCTGTAGAAGACCTCTCTGGGCCAAGCTTAGAGTAAATTATATATGTAGTTGATAGTGAAAGACTTTTGTGATCTATTTTTCTCCCTTTTGTGATCAATTTTTCTCCTAAATTCTGTTTTCTAGAATAGATCATGACTAGTTATGTCAATAATAGGACACTATACTGGGAACTTCAATTGCCTGAAGTGCACAGTCCTAACTTTGTGTGTACATACCCCTTATGGGCTGTACAAGGCTCTGGAACATGCAAGATCATGACCAATTTGCTTAACTTAAACTTCTGTGGCGTCTCCTTGTGCAATGCTGATGGCTATGTCTGGAGGTGGAAGAAAGAAGTAAGCTTTCTTAATTTCCACAGTTCAATCAGTTTAAGGTCTGAAAATGAGCCTCGAAGGAGCTTTATGCTAGAAGCCTTTTACCTCAGCATACAAATCATAAATTCTTAAAAATTGAGTAGATGACCCCCCCAAAAAGAAACTGTCCCTTTCCTTTACTATGGCTTCTCATCCAGTCTGGAAACAGCACATTTTCAAGAAAGAAGCAAGTCCTATATTCAGTTTGCACCATTACTGAAACCTTAGGATACAAACACAGCCAACCTTGAATAACCTTCCTCTGTCTACATGGGACAGAAAAAGAGATGAAGCGGTCATGGAGATAACACCTGCCAGTCACAAGCTGGGACTCAACACTGGTCTTAGCCAGACAAGAGCACGGAGGCCTCCCCGCCCCAAGCCATGAGAAACATTTACACCATCTAGTTATCCCAAAAGGGAGAGTAAAGGAATTGTGTGCATTACTACAGAGCAGCTCTGAGTATATACAATCCCTTGTGCAAAAGTTTATTTAGATAAGAACAGGCAGAAAACATATGAAAGGAGACAACTAATAAATGAGGCCATTACTTCCCAAACATGATAGACATTTTGAAGCCCAGGACGCTTCTCTCTGCAGACTTCACCAATTTTTTGGTATTTCACCTGTGGTTATATCAGGCCCTACACTTACCTGAAAGTACTAAATATACTCAGCTAGAAGCAGAAATCCCAGAGACTGCAAGGAAAAACGCCCATCCTAATTCTTCTTTGTTTATATGCTGTAGCACAAGGTACAATTTGTGCTTTAGAAACAAAAATAGACAAGTTTATTAGATGTTCAGTCCCTGTGGACTGCTTTCCTTTGACTAGTATTGCCGTTGACTCTATAGATGAAAGCCTTTGTACAAACCACATTGATTTTATTAGAGTTCTTCATTAATTTTTACCTTCACAAGAAGCCTAATCTGACAAGATATGGCAGATGAAGTGCTGGATATTAGCTTAAATACTTCAATCATTTTATCTTTCAGAATCGCCTCTGTAGAAAGAACCGTTACATTAACGCCAATGGTGGTTGCACTAGCACCAACCTGAGCAGGAACTTTGCTGCTGTGTAGGGTAGTAAGTAACCTGACTAATATATAGACCACCTCGAAACCAGCCTGCAAGGGCACATTGGTAACAGGGATTATTCTGTCAGGCATTGAAAATGAAGGCCCTTAATGCTCCAATTTACACTCTATGGATTTTACACTGTAATACAAAGACCGAAATGCTGTGAGTACACATGCTATTTGCAGGTATTGGTGCCAAAGTGAGGCATGTAAATCAACCCACCATGAGCCTGCTCGAGAGTCTGAGGGAGAGACTGAAGCCCTCAATGCCTTAATTTGCAACAGCCCTCTCTTCCATCAAGGCGTATCTAAGATTCCACTCATATTCTTAGCTGCTGTATTTCTTTATGGATACAATTCCATACAAGTACCTAATTATGATGAACAAGTATTTAGAAAAGCTAATATAAAGTTCTATGAAAGTGTATATGATCATAATGAACTGGCATGTCAAAAAATCACAGGAGATCCTATACTTCCAAGAGAATCTATCTGCAATGAACCGGCATGTAAGTAAGCTAAAGAATGCTGCCCCCAGTGAAGTTTTAAAGACTTAATTCAGTTACTTTTGTTAAGCACTAGCTTAAGCAGAGCCATGTCTGATTTCAATTAGGGAAGGCAAAAAAATCAAGCCATGTTCAACCAATTTCCTCTATATGTGCTTTTGAGGTACTAAGACTTCACATGATATATCATGTGCTTTTAAATCCCATTTTGATTGAAATGTCTCTCAAAATAGAAAATCTTACTTTAAAACAAAATCTTTCCATACACATTGCACATATGCAGCAAAAGACAGTGATGGTTTTGAGGGCAAATCTTATCATCACCTCCATCTCATTTGAGAATGACTGTCCTGCAGCACTTACGATAAAAAATAATCTTAAACCTCATCTTTATAAGGAAGCACACCCTGAAAACTACTTGTTACACACCAAGGACTTTCACGTCCACTTCAATTTCATTAACTTCTGTTCTGTAATCCAAAAAGTACCAGAAGAAAGACCATTAACCAAACATCTTTCAGCATCCAGTTAGGACCTGAACAAGACTGAAAATCCAGTCAAAGGGTAGGAATATTCACTCTCTCCATCTTCAAAGACACTAGAATAAATGATGTGGACAAGAGTCTGAATGTAGCTCCTTTCTCTCACTGATTCTGTTAAAAAAAGTATCAATCCATTTTAATGTTGCAGCTTTATTTGAAAGTGACTTAAGAGTTTTGGTAACACCATTTTTTTAATACAAAATTGATACAATGAAAAATAAGCTTCAGAGGTTTCCTAGAGCAGATTACAGGCTGTAAACTCATAATCAAATGTACTATATAGAAAAAGGTAACTTTGTTCAAAGTCTTGTTTGCAGACCAGCCCCAAGTGATCCTGAAAATCTAGTTTTATTCTATGTGCCAAGAAAACCCAAAACCTTGCTTCCTAAGTAAGCAAAGTCTCATTGCAGTTGTTCTACCTCACTGTATTTCCAGTTTACAGTAACAGTTGTGACTAACTGTGCACAAGAAACACATCAAGATCTCCAACAATATCTTCAGTGAGTAAAGATCCACTTTTACATACCTGGTATTCTAAAGGTTTTTAAGGAGCCATGGACAACAAGGTATTTGGACAAAACTTTATGAATTGCCATTTCCAAAGAACTCAGAAGTCCATTAAAAAAAAAAAATCCAAAGCCCTCTAACAGTTCCTTTTAATTATTTCATTTCAGCAATTCAGTTTCACAGATCTTGGCACCACTAATAATTTTTATTCCTATGTCTGCAGTACATCAATATCCCATCATATAAACTAGCAGTATTAATAGGATCCAGAGGGGGGAGGGGGGGAAGAAAAAATAAATCTATATGGTCCTACAGTTATTTTACCATTCTCACCATGTCCTTAGTAGAAAGTAAGGCTCCTTCCAAAACTTTTTTTTTTATTTTTACCTTTGTCTGAAATCAAGTTTCTCAAATAGAAAATCTATTTTGAGAACAAACTTTCTTATTACACAGTTCCTCAAACGTCCCATTTTGGGGGTAACTGTACAACTTGGCTTCATGCTGTCCTTGTAGGCACAGGAAAGATATTGTTCATCAAATATCAAGGCTGTAGAGAGCTACCAGACAGGAGCAAAATACTACTACTCCAGCTGTGAAAATAGCTGCTACTGTAATTCTTACACTTGCTATTCTCTGTATCCCACAAAGCAAAATGGTTCTGAAACATGCAATGTTGTGTAATCACTTTATACTTTGTAGAAGACTGCAAGGGTCTGTTTTCTGCTCTCTGCTAGGCTTGCTTCTCACTTGATGATGGCTAGGCTCATCAATCTGACTTGTTTTATTGTGGCTGTTTGTGCAGGTGTGCTAGGAACAGCATGAATGTAAAAGGATGCTTATCCAGTAACCCCAGAAAATGTGCAAATTTAAGTCTTCCCTAGAAACTGGAAAATTTCCCTAGAAATTCCATTTCCTTTTCAGGCTCTTTGCCTCTTTCTTTCATCTCCGAAACATACACCAATCCCCTATTGCCGCTCTCCACCCTGTGATACCAATGTAAACAAAACCCAGCAACAGAATAATCAAGTTTTGCCTGTGAAAAAAAGCACCACAGTATCAAGCCTTTGTTCCTTTTAGTAGAGTTACAGCAGCATTTAGAGACCAAAGCCTCACGTATACTATTGCTTAAAACCTTGCTCCCAGGTCCTCTGTATTAATGTACTCTGCAATGCTTTGGATCTTGGTATTAAAACAGAAGAGATATTGAACACACTGTGTGATCACAGGAACAAGGGTAGTAGTTTCTGTGAATTTCTAGCTACACAAATTTGTGTGCAATAGACCTACTTTGTGCCTGGTGACATTTACAATGCAGATTTAGTTCTCCTGTGAGGCTGACGAGTCATTCACTATTCACTGGCATTGAACAGTTTTGCCATAGCCACCTCTTCCAGCATCATAGTCTTGACGATATTCATCTCGGACCTTACAAAGGAGGAAAAAAGGGAAGTCCAGTAAAGACAAAGAAAAACAATTTCTCGAAAACTATTACACCATCAGAATATAGTCAAACTGAGTTCACATGCGGATTTTGGCTGGAATAGAGTTAATTTTCTTCACAGTAGCTAGTGTGGGGCTATGTTTTGGATTTGTGCTGAAAACAGTGTTGGTAACACAGGGACGTTTTTGTTATTGCTGAGTAGTGCTCACACAGAGCTGAGGCCTTTTCTGCTTCTCAGCCCACCCCACCAGCGAGCAGGCTGGGGGGCACAAGGAGTTGGGAGGGGACAGTCGGGACAGTTGACCCCGACTGACCAAAGGGACAGTCCAAACCATTGATGTGATGTTCAGCATATAAACCTGGGGGAAGAAGGAAAGGGGGGGACATTCAGAATGATGGTATTTGTCTTCCCAAGTAACCGTTACGGGTGATGGAGCCCCGTAAGCATAACATCTAAGTGGCCACAAGGAGCTGAATAACGAAACAGAAGGCAAAGTGCATCATACAGAAGCCCAGAATACAGCATAAATAAACTTTCTTTTTAATAATGTCCAGGGGGACTCTTTAATCAAGACAGTCAAAGAGTGAGGATGGCTAGCCTCATGCTTCAGCAGGAAAAGCGTGTGCTACCTGCTCAACTTTAGGTAAGCTAAGTGCTGTCCTTTGTGTTTCTTGACAGCCTTACATTTGCTGGGGTTATTTACAAGCGTTATCTCCCCAAGCAGCCAAGAAGTTTCTGAAAGTACTTTCAATGAAATATATGAAAAAGTTATTTATTCTTAGTGGATAACACCATCGTTGCTAAGATATCTTACAGACTAATGTATAGTGCTATCTTAAACAATAATTCCTAAGTTGCTATTTCTGAAGTTGTTCTGAGTGTGTTAATTCAAAAAGCAGTAATTTGGCAAAGTCACCAGTCCCTTAACACCTAGACTGTACAACAACCTACCTGGCCCCCTGATCTTCCACGACCATACTGTCTACCCTCCTTAAATCCTGCATCCCAGTCTGTCCTTATGATCCTGTCATCAAGTCTGGTTCCATTGATGTATCGCATTGCATTTTCAGCATCTCCTCTTGCATAATACCTTAGAAATGGGTTAATGAAAAAAAATGGGCTTCTATTTTCAACACGTGGAAAAAAGAACAATATCGAACGGGCTACAAAGCCAAGTATTTGCTTGAATCGGGTTCCTGCTTGGTTATTTTTAAAAGCAACCACTTTTACGAAGCTGTGTGGGCTGAGAAAACTGCTAGTGAAATGGAGCAATGTGCAGGAATTCAAGCATAATAAAAATGCATATATTGGATCAAGCTCTTTAACCACGCTCACCCTTAAAAGCATAAAGCTCTGTTACTAAAGAAAGAACGAGAAGCCCCATGCATGCTCCATTCATGCTGCAAACTTTCACCATTTCGGTGAGTTCGCTGGAACCAGTAACAGAATGATCTCCAAAGAGACTTGGGTGTAGTGAAGTCAACACACGACAGGGACGCAAGATACCAGAGAAACCCTATGCGCATGCTTGTACGACAAGAAACACCTCTTCACTTGGGCACTGAGAATACGCTCTCACCGCAGAGGCCAACGATCTAACAAGCGCCCGGCTTAAAGCCTCAGAACGACAGCGACCCGACAACCCCCACTCGAGGTGCAGCGTGTGTTAGAATCCTGAAGTCGTTTAGGTTGGAAAAGGCCTTTAAGATCACCGAGTCCAGCCGTCCACCTAGCGCCCCCCTCTCTCGCCCGGCACTCCCACAGGCACCTTAGCACCGAACGATTTCACCCTCGGATCATTTTCCCGCGGCCCAGAGCCCGCATTTCGGGTCACCCCCGCCCCGCCC